TATTGGCATACAGTTGGGTAAAATAGTGCCTAATTATTGCTTTAATTTCCACTTCATTGGTGGTGAATTCACTCTTTTCATTTTTGATACTTGTAATATGGTTTTCTTTTTTTTATCAAAATAACCAAAAGTTTAACTATTTTATTGGTCTTTTCATAAAACCAGCTCTGAGTTTTATGCATTCGTTCAATAGTTTTCTTACTTTCAATTTAATTAATCTCACCTTTGATTTTCAGAATTTCTAATTTTGTATTTAGAGATTTTTAATATATTCATTGTCTAACTTTTTTAATTGCATGCCCAATTCATTGATCTCTTCTTTCTCTATTTTATTTATTGTAATTATTTAGAGATACAAAATTTCCCCTAAGAACTGCATTGGTTGCATCACATAAGTTTTAGTATGTTGTCTCATCTTTGTCATTCTCTTTGATAAAATTATTGATCATTTATATGATTTGTTGTTTCACCCACTCATTCTTAATGGCATTAGCTTCGACTTGCCCAAGTCTAATATTTAAGGCATTATTTTCTTCAGTTAGCTTTTGTACCTCCTTTTCCATTTGACCAATTCTACTTTTAAAGAAGTTGTTTTCTTCAGTGGATTTTTCTTCCATTTGGCTAATTCTGTTTTTTCTTATTAATCACATTTCCACATAAGTCAAGTTGTAATGAAGAATTAGAACCAAAGGGAAAAAAAACACAAGAAAGAAGAAATGGAAAAAAAAGAGAAAATTGTATACTTCTATCTGCATTCAGACGCCATAGTTCTTTTCTGCGAATGTGGATAGCATTTTCCATCATGAGTCTTTTGGAATTGTCTTGGACCCTTGTATTGCTGAGAAGAGTTAATTCTAACAAAATTTGTCATTGCACAATGATACTATTACTGTATACAATATTCTCCTGTTTCTGTTCACTTTGCTCAGCATCAGTTCATGTAAGTATTCTTGGTTTTTCAGAAGTCCACCTGCTCATCATTTCTTATGGAACCAGTAGTATTCCATTCCATTCATGTAACACAACTTGTTCAGCCATTCCCCAATTGATAGGCATCCCCTTAATTTCCAATTCCTGGCCACCACAAAAAGAGATGCTATAAATAGTTTTGTGCATGTAGGTCTTTTCCCATTTATATGATTTTTTTTGGGATACAGACATAGAAGTGGTAATGCTGGGTCAAAGGTCATGCACAGTTTCATAGCCCTTAGGGCATAGTTCCAAACTGCTTTCCAGAATGGATGGATCAGTCCACAACTCCACCAACAATGCATTATTGTTCCATTTTTCCCACATATTCTCCAACACTTATCATTTTCCCGTTATGTCATGTTAGCCAATCTGATAGATGTGACTTGATACCTCAGAGTTGTTTTGATTTGCATTCTCTAATCCATAATGATTTAGAGTATTTTTTCATATAACTATAGATCACTTTAGTTTCTTCCTTTGAAAACTTCCCGTTCATATCCTTTGACCATTTATCCATTGGAGGATGACATGTATTCTTATAAATTTAACTCAGATAAATTGGTATAATCTCTTGGCTAATATTTTATTTAAAATTTTTGCATCTATATTCATTAGAGAAATTGGTCTATAATTTTCTTTAGCTATTTTGGCTCTTCCTGGTTTAGCTCTCAGAACCATATTTGTATCATAGAAAGAAGTTGGTAGGACTCCTTCTTTGCCTATTTTTTTCAAATAGTTGGAATTAATTGCTCTTTAAATGTTTGGTAAACATCACTTGCAAAATCAACTGGCCTTGGAGATTTTTTCTTAGGGAGTTCATTGATGGTTTGTTCAATTTCTTTTTCTAAAATGTGATTATTTAAGTATTTTATTTGTTTCCTCTTCTGTTAATCTGGGCAGTTTATATTTTGTAATAATTCATCCATTTCACTAAGATTGTCAGATTTATTGGCATACAGTTGGGGAAAATAGTGCCTAATTATGATTTTAATTTCCTCTTCATTGGTGGTAAAGTTATGCTTTTCATTTTCAATACTGGTAATTTGGTTTTCTTCTTTTTGTAATCAAGTTAACCTAAGATTTATCTATTTTATTTTTTCATAAAACCACCTTTTAGTTTTCTTAATTCAATTTTATTAATCTCTCCTTTGATGTTCAGAATTTCTAATTTGGCATTTAATTGGGGATTTTTAATTTGTTCATTTTCTAGATTTTTTAGTTGCATGCCCAAGTCATTTGTCTCCTCTTTCCCTTTTGTATAAATGCTCACATAAGCATTTTGATATATAAAATTTCCGCTAAGAAGTTCTTTGGCTGTATCCCGTAAGTTTTTGTGTATTGTTTCATTATTGTCATTATCTTGGAAGAAGTTATTGTTTCTGTGAATTGTTTTTTGGCCCACTCATTCCTTAAGATTTGATTATTTATTTTCCAAATAATCTTTAGTCTGTATTTCCATGGTCATTTATTACATGCAATTTTTATTGCATTATGATCTAAAAAGAATTCTTTTAATATTTCTGCCTTTCTGCATTGGAATGTGAGGTTTTATACCCTAGTACATGGTTAATTTTTGTGTAGGTACCTTGTAAGGCTCAGAAAAAGGTATGTTCCTTTCTATCCCCATTCAGTTTTCTCCAGAGGTCTACCAGATCTAACTTTTCTAAAATTCTATTCACCTCCTTAACTTCTTTCTTGTTTATTTTGTGGTTAGATTTATCTAGTTCTTAGAGGTGAGGTTGAAGTCCCCCACTAGCATAATTTTGCTGTCTTTTTCTTCCTGTAACTCACTTAACTTCTCTCTGAGAATCTGGATGCCGTACCACTTGGTGCATATATTTTTGTATTGATATTACTTCATTGTCTATGTAGTTTCCTTCCTTATGTCTTTTAATTAGATCTATTTTTGCTTTTGTTTTGTCTGAGATCAGAATTGCTACCTCTGCTTTTTTACTTCAGCTAAAGCATCATATATTCTGCTCCAGCCTTTTACCTTTACCCTGTGTGTGTCACTCTTTTTCAAATGTGTTTCCTGTAAACAACATATTGTAGGATTATGTTTTTTAATCCACTCTGCTATCCACATCTGTTTTATGGGAGAGTTCATCTCATTCACATTCATAATTATGGTTACTAACTGTGTCTTTTCTCCCTCCTATTTCCCCACCTATTTATACTTTTCTCTCTCCTTTCTCCCTTTCCCTCCTCACAAGTGTTTTGCTTTTGACCATTACTTCCCTCAAACCACCCTCCCTTTTCCTTTCCCTTTCCTTTCATACTTCCTATATGGTAAGATAGATTTCTATACCCAGCTGAGTATGTTTGTTATTCCCTCTTGGAACCAAATCTGTTGAGAGTAAAGTTTAAACAATGCTCATTTCCCTTCCTTTTCTCCCTCTACTCTCTTAGCACCTCTTGATGTGATGTAATTTACCCTTTTCTGTCTCCTCCTTTCCTCTTCTCCCAGTACAATTCTTTTTTTAACTCCTTAATTAATTTTTTTATCATCATATCAAAGTCAACTTAGACCCACACCCTCTGTCTATGTACACTCTTTCTACATGTCATAATAAAGATATAGTTCTCAAGAGTTACAAGTATCATTTTCCCATGTAGTTATGTAAACAGTTTACCCCTTGTTGAATAATGCTTTTTTTTTCTTTCCTGTTTACATTTTTATGCATCTCTTGAGTTTTATATTTGAAGCTCAAATTTTCTGTTGAACTCTGGTCTTTTTATCAGGAAGATTTGGAAGTCATTAAATTGAATGTCCATCTCTTCCCCTGAGAAATTATGTTCAGTTTTGCTGGGTAGTTCATCCTTGATTATAATCTAAGCTCCTTTACCTTCCACAATATCATATTCCAATCCCGCCTATCCTTTAATGTAGAAGCTGCTAGGTCCTGCATAATCCTTACTATGGTTCCATGATATTTAAATTGTTTCTTTCTGACTGCTTGAAATGTTTGCTCCTTGACCTGAAAATTCTGGAATTTGGCTACAATATCCCTTGGGATTTCCATTTTGGGATCTCTTTCAGAAGGTGACTGGTGGATTCTTTCGATGATGATTTTACACTCTCATTCTAAGACTTCAGGGCAGTTTTCCTTGATAATTTCTTTAAAGATGCTGTCCAGGCTCTTTTTTTATTGTGGCTTTCAGGTAGACCAATAATTCTTAAATTGTTTCTCCTGGATCCATTTTCCTGGCTAATTATTTTTCCAATGAGGTATTTTACATTTTCTTCTATTTTTTCATTCTTTTGATTTTGTTTGACTAATTCTTGATGTCTCATAGAGTCATTAGATCCCAGTTGCCCAGTTCTAATTTTTAATGAATTGTTTTCTTCAGTTAGCTTCTGTACCTCCTTCTCCATTTGGCCAGTTCTACTTTTCACTCCTCAGTGAATTTTTGTACCTCCCTTTCCACTCGGCCAACCATACATTTTAAGGAGTTGTTTTCTTCAGTCAATTTTTGACCTTAATTTTCCAAACTATCGACTTTCTCTTGCATAACTCTCATGTATTTTCCCAATGTTTCTTCTACTGCTCTTATTTGACTTTTAAAATTCTTCTTGAGCTCTTCCAAGAAGGATTTTAGAGGTTGGGACCAATTCATATGTCTCTTTGAGGCTTCAGTTGTAGGTATTTGACAATGTTGCCCTTTTCTGAGTTTGTGTTTTGATCTTCCCTGTCACCATAATAATTCTCTGTGCTCAGTGTGATTTTCTGCTTCTTACTCATGATGTTTGCCTAATTCCTGACTTTTAACATTGAGCTCTCCTGCTGGAGCACAGGGGACACTGTCCCAAACTTCTTGTTCTGGACCAAGGGCCTGGTCACTGGCTTTGTGTGCTATGGATTCAGGTTCTGGCAGCTATGAGCTCTAAGGATCTGGCAGCTTTCTTTGTGCTGAGCTGGAGTCCTAGTGGTAGTGTCTGGTATGTGTTGAGGCCAGGTGGAATTTGTGTGTGTGTGTGTGTGTGTGTGTGTGTGTGTGTGTGTGTTTGTATTTCTCTGAGGCTGCTGCTAGAGGACATCTGCTCGCTTGCGGCAGTGCTGAAGCAGGGGGAAATCTGGCTGCTGGAGTATGCCTGCCAGCCTGCAGCAGGACTGGTCTGAAGCAAGGGAAGGTCTGCTGCTGGAGGACACCTGCTGCTCTGTGCTGCACTGAAGTGTGGGGAGGTCTGGCCTCTAGAGGACGCCTGTGTACCTGGATCTCCCCCTGAAGCATGCTTACCCACCTGTAGTTACGCTAGATTGCATGGAGGAGCACTGCTGAGGGATGCCTGTCTGCCTGTATCTTCACCAGTGCAGTTGGTGGTTCTCTGAACTGGAGTCTGCCAGTTCCCCTGGCTATGCTAAGGCTCATGGTGGGGCCTAGTGTTGGCATTTACCTACTCTACCACTCTCAGACTCAGGATCTCCCACTGGTTTGCTGAGGTGAGGCTTACCGCCAGATGGCTGTAACACTTTCTATCCTGGAATGTGTTCCCCTTTTACCTTAGTGAAATGGACCTTTCTTGTGGATCCTCCAAATTTCCCAGGCTAAGAGACTGCTCCACCCCATCTTTTTGATGGCTTCAGTGTTCCAGGATTTTTCCTGGGGTTCAATTTTCTGTTTTTTTAAGAGGTCAAAAAGGGAGAGTGGTGGGAACTTACTGATTTCTCTGCAGTCTTGGCTCCTGGAAGTTCTTTTATCTGGCCAATTCTACTTTTTTTGTTTGTTTGTTTGTTTTGTTTTAAGGCATGGTTCTCTTTTTTATAGTTTTTTTAATGCATATCTTTAAAAAATGTGTTTTTAAAACTTTGGGTTTGAAATTTTCTCCCTTCCTCCCTCCCCACCCACCCTCATTGAAAAGGCAAGCAACTCAATATAGGTTATATATGTGCAGTTATGCAAAACACTTCCATAGTAGACATGCTGCGAAAAACCAACTCTTATTTCCCTTAATCCTATCCTGCCCCCCCATTTATTCTATTCTTTCTTTTGACTCTGTCCCTCCTCAGAAGTATTTGCTTCTGATTACCCCCTTTCCAAATCTGCCCTCTGCTCTATCATCCCCCTACTCTCTTGTCCCTTTTCCCACCCTATTTTCCTGTAGGGTAAGACAGATTTCCATACCCAATTGAGTGTATGTGTTATTCCTTCCTTAAGTTAAATCCTATGAGAAATAAGACTCACTCATTCCCTCTCAACTTCTCCCATTTCCCCTCCACTGTAAGAGCCTTTTCTTTTTTTTTTTTTTTTTGTGAGATAATTTACCCTGTTCTACCTCTCCTTTTTTCCTTCTCCTAGTATAATCCTCTCTCACCCCTTAATTTTATTCTCCAGATATGACCCCTTCATCTTCAACTCACCCTGTGCCCTCTATTTATCAATTTATCTATCTATCTATCTATCTATCTATCTATCTATCTATCTATCTATCTATCTACACACATATAATTTTTTCCCTCCAACTACCCTAATACTGACAAAGGTCTCATGAGTTACAAATATCATCTTTTCATGCAGGAGTGTAAACAGTTCAACCTTAATAAGTCTCTTATGATTTCTTTCCTCTTTACCTCTTCATGTTCCACTTGAGTCTCGTATTGGAAAGTCAAATTTTCTATTCAGTTCTTGTCTTTTCATCAAGAATGCTTGAAAGTCCTCTATTTCACTGAATATCTACTTTCCCCCCTGAAGGATTATACTCAGTTTTGCTGGGTAGGTGATTCTTAGTTGTAATCCTATCTCCTTTGCCCTCCAGAATATTATATGCCATGCCCTGGGGTCCCTTAATGCAGAAGTTGCTACATCTTGTGTTATCCTGATTGTGTTTCCACAATACTTGAATTGTTTCTTTCTGACTACTTGTAATATTTTTTTTCCTTTACCTGGGAATTCTGGAATTTGGCTACAATATTCCTAGGAATTTTCCCTTAGGAATGTCTTTCAGGAGGAGATCAGTGGATTCTTTCAATTTCTATTTTGCCCTCTGGTTCTAAAATATCAGGGCAGTTTTCCTTGATCATTTCTTGAAAGATGATATCTAGGCTCTTTTTTAGATCTGGCTTTCAGATAGTCCAATAATTTTAAAATTCTCTCTCCTGGATCTATTTTCCAGGTCAGTTGTTTTTCCAATAAGATATCACACAGTTTTCTAATTTTTCATTCTTTTGGATTTGTTTTACAGTGTCTTGATTTCTCATAAAGTCACTAGCTTCCAATTGCTCTGTTCTAATTTTTAAGGAAGTATTTTCTTCAGTAATCTTTTGGACTTTGTTTTCCATTTGTCCAGTTTTGCTTTTTAGGGTCTTCTTCTCCTCATTGGCTTTTTGGACCTCTTTTGCCATTTGGGTTAGGCAATTTTTTAAGGTGTTATTTTCTTCAGTATTTTTTTGGGTCTTCTTTATCAAGTTGTTGACTTGTTTTTCATGATTTTCTTGCATCACTCATTTCTTTTCCCAGTTTTTCCTCTACTTCTCTTACTTGCTTCTCAAAATCCCTTTAGAGCTCTTCCAAGGCCTGGGACTGATTCATATTTTTCTTGGAGGCTTTGGATTTAGGAGCTTTGACTTTGTTGTCTTCTTCTGGTTGTATGTTTTGATCTTTGTTACCAAAGTAAGATAATATAGTCTGACTCTTTTTGCACTGCTTACTCATGATCCCGGCCAATTATTTGAGTTTTTAAACTCTTTGTTAAGGTAAGAGTCTGGTTCCAATGTGGAGAGTATACTATCCCAAGCTTAGGGGGTTTGTACAGCCTTTTTCAGAGATACTTCTAGGGACCTGTAAATTTTCAGTTCTTCCAAGGTAGTATGATAAAGGGCAAGGTGTTTCCTCTCCACCACCACAACAAGTTCCACTACACCAGCACTCTTTCTCACCCCAGGACCACCCCTCAGAACTGTGACCCAGATCCAAGCACGGGCAAAGCAAGAGATTCCTTCCTCAGCACTGGCAAAGAGATCCCTGCAATCCCCCTCTGATCAGCCACTCGATTCCCCCTCAGTCTGTGGGTAGGAAGTTTAGGAGGCAGCTGCTGCCCCAAGGACTCGCTAGGGACTTGCGGCTGAGACCTAGCTTCTCTCTCACCACAGACACAGACTTTTCCCACTGACCTTCCAAGTTCTCTTTGGTGTTCATGGGTTAAGAAGTCTGGAAACCTCCACAGCTGCCTGCGATTCAGTCCTCTGAGGCCTACTCCAGGTTCACTGTGGCCTGCGTACCCATGCCGTGCTGCACTCCTGTCCCCACCCGGCGTGATATACCTTTTTGATCAATCATCCAGGTTGTCTTAGGCTGTAAATTTGTTTCACTCTGTCTTTTTGTGGGTTCTGCTGCTTTAGAATTTGTTTAGAGCCATTCTTTGCAAGTGTTTGGAGGGGTTTGTGGGAGAACTCAAGCAAGTCACTGCTTTCCCTCCACCATCTTGGCTACGCCCCTCCAATTCTACTTTTAAGGAATTGTTTTCTTCAGTCAATTTTTGTGCTTCTCTTTCCAAACTGTGGACTTTGTTTCCATAATTTTCCTGTACAACTCTCATATCTTCCCCCAGTTTTTCTTCTACATATCTTACTTGATTTACCTTTTTTTGACCTCTTCAAAGAGGACTTTTTGGGCTTGAGACCAATTCATATTCCCCTTTATAGCTTCACATGTAGACATTTTGATGTCGGCCTCTTCTGAGTTTGTGTTTTGGTCTTCCTTGTCACCATAGTAGTTATATACGACCTGGGCTCTTTTCTATTTCTTACTCATTTTCAGCCAATTTTGTGACTTTTAAAATTGAACTCTGCTCCTGGGCCACAGGGACCTCTATCCCAAGATTATTATGCTGAGGACCAGTGGCATTGTCACTGACTTTCCTCCCTGAGGCTTCAGGTACTTGTGTCTTGACCCCTTATCTGGAGGTGGCCTGGCCTAGTTGAGTCTATTGTGTTGAGATTCTGGTGCTCACAATTTGACTTCTAACCTGGGGCTGGAGGCCTTACTGCTGGCCTGCTGAACCAGGACTTGGGGGGCCTTGGTTGCTAATGTGTGCTGTGACTAAGAGCCTCCTGCTGGCTTACCCAGATACTTTTTTTTCTGGGCTGGGCTCACCTTTTACATGTGAGATAGAAATTTCCTGAAGTCCTTCTAAATTATCTTAAGCTGGAAAATTGTTTCACTACATCTGTACCTCCAGAATCCATTTAGAGGCTTGATGTAATATTGTTTCCCAGGAAAACTGGGGAGGGCTCAAGCAAGTTCTTGGCTTCTCTCTGCCATCTTGGCTCCACCCTTCTGTTTTAATGTTTTCAAGGTGTTTTTCTCACGTTACTTTTGTCTTCATTTATACCCTTTGAAATTTATCATTTAGTGGCAATGTCTAGAAACTTGATAGTGTTTTTTACCCCTGCTTTTTTTTCCCACTTTAGCTGAAGTATACTATATTCTGCTCCAGACTTTTACCTTTACTCTATGTGTATCCCTCTGCTTCAAATGTGTTTCTTGTAAATAACATATTGTAGGATTATGGTTCTTAATTCACTCAGCTATTTGTTTCCATTTTATGGGAGAGTTCATCCCATTCACATTCACAGTTGTGCTTAGTGTCTGTGTCTTCCTCTCCATCCTGTTTGCCTCCTTGTTTATGTTTTGCTCTCTCCTTTTTCCCTTTCCCTCTTCAGTAGCTTTGCTTTTGACCACTGCCTCCCTCAGTCTGTACTCCCTTCTATTAGCCCCCTCCCTTTTCTTCCCCTTTACCCTTTCTGCTTCTTCCTTCCCTTCTATTCAGCTCCTCCCTTTTCTTTTCCTTTTCCCCTCCTACTTCCTATGGGGTAAATTAGATTTCTATGCCTAACTGATTATATTATTCCCTCGTTGAATAAATCTGATGAGAGTAAGGTTAAAGCAATGCTCAGCTCCCTTTCTTCTTCCTCTCTACTGTTTTTTGTGCTTTTTCATGTGATGTGATTTACCTTTGACTCCCTCTTCCTTTCCTCTTCTCCCAGTACAATCCCCTTTCACCTCTTAATTAGATTTTTTTTACCATCACATCAATCATCAACTTATGCCCATGCCCTCTATCTAACTATACCCCTTTTAAATGTCATAATAACAATACAGTTCTCTAGAGTTACAAGTGTCATCTTTCCTTGTAAGAATGAAAACAGTTTGCCTTTATTAATAACATGTTATTTTTTCCTGTTTGCCTTTTAAT